CCCCCAGCAACCCACAGCCTCAGCTTTGCGCACCCCACAACCCCTTCCATCTACCCCGCCGGCACAATCACTCTCCTGCTCACGAAGCGGCAGGGGGCTCTACGAAACAGCCGCCCAGCCGGGCCGCGATGGCGGCGCTTGCCCCGCGTTGTCCACCCGGGTCGCAAGCGCCGCCGTCTGACTCTCGGTCCCGGCGCTGACCGCAGAGGCCGCGGTGTGGCTGGGCCGGGCCTGCCCCCTGGGGCCCGGCAGAACGCTCAGCCCCCGCCACACGTTCTCACTCGCACTGTTTGTCTCAACAACAGGTAGCAGCTCCGGACACCATGGCCCCCAGCTCGCTGCCGCCTCGAGCCCCTCGGTGTTCCCGGGCCTTCACGAGCAGCCTCCCCAGGCCTCCCCTGGCGGCACTCTGAATGGACTCCTGCGTCTGGGGCTCCCCGGAGACATGTACGCGCGACCTGAACCCTTCCCGCCGGGACCTGTGGCCCGCAGCGACGCCCTGGCAGCTGCCGCCGCCCTGCACAGCTACGGGGGCATGAACCTGACCGTGAACCTCGCCGCGCCCCACGGTCCCGGCGCCTTCTTCCGCTACATGCGGCAGCCCATCAAACAGGAGCTCATCTGCAAGTGGCTGGCGGCCGACGGCCCGGTGCCCCCGCGCCTTTGCTCCAAAACTTTCAGCACGATGCACGAGCTGGTCACGCACGTCACCGTGGAGCACGTCGGTGGCCCGGAGCAGGCCAACCACATCTGCTTCTGGGAGGAGTGTCCGCGCCAGGGCAAGCCCTTTAAAGCCAAGTACAAACTTGTAAATCACATCCGCGTGCACACGGGCGAGAAGCCCTTCCCCTGTCCCTTCCCGGGGTGTGGGAAAGTCTTTGCTAGATCAGAAAATCTCAAAATACACAAAAGAACTCACACAGGTCAGTATTCGGCACTGTTTCGTGCGGACCCTCTGGGGGAAAAGGGGGGCCTCCTTGGGGCCTTCCAGCTGGATTTCCTCAAGTTCCACCTGGGGGGAGGAGGAATATTTTGGTGCTTCCATGAGCCAAGTTCATAAAATATTAATTATGCCCTTCTATTAGAGTCGCAGAAGTTTCCCGAGGCTGTGTGTGGAAAGGATAGTGTGAGATTTCTGCTGGAGGGGGTGGGGAGGGTGCTTGGGTTTCTGTGTGTGCAAATGTGTGGTCCCTGCTTATCGAATTTGCTATTAAGGCATTCTAAAGGGCACCGTTCATCAGAGTTGTGAAGACACAGGAAGAGTCTGTTTTCCTGGTCCCTTTGGAATTGTGTGGGGAGCAGTCCTATAGCGAGCGGTCAGCCTGACAACCTGACCGCCCCCTGGATGGAGAGCTCCCCAGCCCCTTCGTGCCTTCTTCAGGAGTTGGGAGTCTCGTGGGCTAACTTCACCTCTATTTTGAAGCCGTGGCCACCCAGAGTCCGGATGTTTCACAGACCCTTTTGCTTTAGCAGAGACCCAAGGAGACTCATCTGCCTTAAATGTCATTTACTGAGCTGTTAAGTGAAATGGGGACATGTGTCAACAACATCTGTTAGTTCTAGTTAACAGAAAGGAAAGGAACGAGCTCAAGAGCCTGAAAAGTTGAACTCCTCTGGCCAGAAGCATCTCTAATTAATGCAATTGCAAGGAGAAAGTTTTCACACTTCCCAGAACAGCCTGTGAAGTTATATTAATTAGTTTAGCAGCCAGGGTTTTCGTTCTCCTTAGCTAGGGTTTTCTTGCCCTGCCTCCTCAAAGTTTATGAAGTCAACATCTCTCCTCCTCCATTTTGGGGACGGGAGAAGGGGACGTATGGAAGAGACAGAAAGGATGAAATAAGTTTCAGCTTAGTGCCCCTTTCTACTCCCTGGCATTCTGCCCTTCCTCTATTCTTGGTGGAAACATCAGCAATTATCAAAGAATTCCCCTAGGCTGGCACTGCCCAGGAAAAGAAGCTTGCTAAAATCCCTCTCTCTCCCCCCCAAACCCTGCAGTCTTGGGGAAGGTCTTCGTCAGGACACTGGCACACTCGGAGGCAAGAAAAGTTCACTGTTAGTCTCCTACTTTATTTCCGGAAACACACGGTTTATCCGAGCTGCTTCCAGGATCCACCCCCCGCCACAATCTCGTGCAAGAGTTTGTTCCCCGCCCCCTCCGATTTTTATCCAGGGGAAGAAGGAGAGGAGTGAGACCCAGATCGCCGCCCTCAGGCTCGCTATTCATGGAGCTGGCGACCCGCACCGCGAAGGTAGACTCGCGTCCTGAGCCAGAGAAGGAACTCATTTTTAATGACAGGGGGTTTTAAACAAACAAACTTTTACTGCTCTTTGCCGGCCTACTGTTTGAAGTCCGTGAAGCAGAAAATGGTTAAATTCTCAGTGCAATCGACCTACAGCAGAGAAGCAAGTCCAGTGCGCCCGAGCTGGCTCAGGTTGCGTCTGTTCACAACAGAATTCTAAGTACATCCTTTCCCTTTCTACTGGCAGTCCTGATTCATTAGCACGGAGTTGAAAAAAAAAAATACAGAGCTTCTGCCCTGGCGTTTCCCTCAAACCCTCCTCCTAAGTAATGAAAAGAGGAGAAAAACAACAACGACAAAATGTTTCTGAAATGGCAATAGACCTCACTACAAATTATTCATGAAGACAGTTCTCGATTCAACAGGAAAATAATTGCCTTTTCAAATATTAATGGCGTTTCATTTCCTTGAGTCGCGGGAGCGGCAATCAGGAGCCGCTTTCTTGGGAGTTGAGATTTTCTCGGATCCGAATGCCCGGCCCGGCTTCAGAGGCAGCGGCTCCGAGCCCACTCCGAAAGCTTTCTCTTCGCGGTGGTCACAGCGATCCCGGAACAATGGTGCTGCCGCGAGGGAGACGCGGGCCGGCTGCCCGGCGCCCTTCCCCGGACCCCTGGGCCGGTGGCTCGCCCCACTTTCCCAGGCTGACGGTAGAGGGAGGCAGGGCTGGGATCCAAGGCAGAGAAGAGAGGCCGCGCCGGGGCCGATGCTCGGAGATCCCGGCCCAGCCACAAGTGCGAGAAAATGGCGCTAGCCGAACCGCCCCGCCGCTGCCTAACTTTGTCGGGCGGGCCTGGCGCCGGGCCGGGGAAGGAGGCCTCTCTCGGCGGCTGAGCCTCTGGGAGGAGACTGCCGGCCTTTCAGGACTCAGCCTCAGGCCCAGGCTGCTCGGGGCGGGCTGCCGGACCCCGGCCCAGCCCTGCTTCCCCACATCCATCCACCCACCCACCCAGGGCGCAGCGCCCAGATCTGGCGGGAGGGAGCGGGCGGGAGGCTGCTGTTGGGTGTAGGGGCGGGGTGGGGTGGGGTGGGGTGTGCAGTTAGGCGAGGAGTCCGGGGCTCCTCCTGCGGCTGCGGAGAGGCCGGGCGGGCGCCGGGGCGCGGCCTCCCCTGGGCCTGCGAACTACCAGCCTGCCCGTATCACCTTCAGTGCCCTGCTTTTTTCGCCTCAGTACTCGTCTGGGACGAAATCATTATTTCTGTTTTACGTGAATGTTCAACAGGGCGCTCACAAGATGGATTGGGGAAGGAAGCAATATTGGGGGTTGCAATCGACCTCAAATTCTATTTGTCCTCTGTTGTCTTGGCAAGTCTTGCTTTCTTTTGCAGGCCCTGAAATACACGGTTTCTGTACGTGATTTTAGAAAGAAAAGACGGAAGGAAGGGAGGAAGAAAAGTTGTAGTTTTGCAAATGCTGACAGGGAGCAGAAGGGAGAAAAGGAGAGGCATCTCGGGACACTGGTTTATTCTGCATCATTCTCCTATTTTTTTTTAAATAAAATTATACAAGTGTGCCGAGAAACGGCAGATGCCAGCAGCGCCCAGTGTTTCCACTGAACTAACAATACTCCTGCAGTGGGAACTCACAGCGGCCGCGCGGTGAGGGAGCCTTGGGCTTCTAACCCGCTGCCGGGCGGAGGCGAGGGTTGTGCGCAAACCTCTGGGTCAGCCTAAGCCTCCACGGGACTCAGGAACAGGGGCTTTGTTTATTCAAACCTGCCCCAAAGCACTCGTCTCTCCTGGAAGCGGCGGGAGAAGGACCACAAAGGCAAACAGTCCTCCAGCCGCGCATCCCTTCCTCCTTAGCCAGACGCTCGGTAGCCTCTCCCTCAACCCAGGGCGCCCGACAGCCTCCATTTGTTTAAAGCGCCCGGACATTGCTTCCCCTCCTTCCCGCAGCATCTGCAGCTCCTGCAGAAAACTGGGCTTCCGGATTCTTGCGGTCCCTTCCTCCCCCAGACGCTAGCGAGTCCAGCGGGCTGTGGGCTCCCAGGCTGGGTCTCGGTCCGCAGCCAGTATTTCCACCCTAACGCGCGCTCGCGCCTTCCCGCGGCTCCACAGGGCATCGCACCGCGGAGCCGAGCCCTTCCGGGTCTACGCCGGCTGCCCGCTTGCCCTCCCGTCCACCTAGCCAGGCCTGGCTTGACCGCAGCAGCTGCGCTCATGCTGAAGCCGCCGCGACAAGGGTGCGATCACTGGAGAGGCCACAGATCCCGCTCGGCCCGGGCAGAACCTGCCTCGCTGGTTTCCCTGCTCGGGCCCGGGAGGCCGGACCGTGGGCCGTGGGTGGTCTCTGGAGGCCGCTCGACCTCTCACAGTCAGTTTGGCCTGGGAGAGACGGCTGCCCGAGGCACAGTCTCCAGGAGGCCGCTGGAGCAGCGTAATAAAATATTATTGCTTGCGCGCGTATCTGGAGGGATCCCGGACAGTTTAGGCAAGATTTGAAGAATGCTGCTAAATGTTTGCCCTCGGGGGGTAAAGGGGAAGGGGAGGGGGCTCCATTTCCCGTAAAAATCGCGACTGAAGTGAATCATTTCTCAGAATACCTTTCCCTGCAGCTCGAGTGCGCATTGGGCACACGCCGTGTGCATCGGCTGCGCATCCTGAAAGTATCCCATCGCCTTGGCCTTTGCACAAAACCTACTTTAGGAAACGATGTGGGCCAGGACTGGATGTGTGCGGGGTGGGCCGCTGGGCGGGGAGCGGGGGGGCGAGCAGAGACGTTTGGCTGGAACAGCAACTTTAAATTGAGCAGATGCGAGCTCCACAGTCAACTCTCTTCTCCGGGCAAAGGTGCTTCTGGCTCCGAGTGGAGAAAATTTGGAGGAAAACAACCGGAGTGGCTCTGGATATTCCCAGGAAGGCAACTGGACTAAGATGGAGTCTTTGTCGCTCCTCCTCCCTCCCCTCCCCCCAGGCCCAGGCGGGAGAGGGGGAGGGCCGGAGTCTTGCAGGGGAGAGCTGGGGGGGCGCTCGGAGTCGGGGGGAGGGGGTGCCGGGCCTGCTGCGCCGGGGAAGGGGGTTTCTGAATTTCTGTGTGTGGCCCTCTTCCCCAAAATGGAAGAGAAAGTGGGGAAGGGTAAGGACGTTGCCACGCGCACTAACGTCTCTGCGTTGCCTCCGCCAGGGGAGAAGCCCTTCAGGTGCGAGTTCCAGGGCTGCGAGCGGCGCTTCGCCAACAGCAGCGACCGCAAGAAGCACTCGCACGTGCACACGAGCGACAAGCCCTACACGTGCAAAGTGCGCGGCTGCGCCAAGTGCTACACGCACCCCAGCTCGCTGCGCAAGCACATGAAGGTGCACGGGCGCTCGCCGCCGCCGCCCGGCTCTGGCTACGACTCGGCCCCGCCGTCTGCCCTCGTGTCGCCCTCGTCGGACTTCGGGGGTCGCGAGCCCCCGGCGGCCTCCTCGGCGGCGGCGAGGAAGCCAGGGGAGCGGGAAGGGAGGGAGGTCACCACTGATCGGGGGCAGAGCTCACCGAATATGCCAGTATAATGTCCATTGTCTCAAAATATCAATAAGGTACCACATGGATTGTGCAGTCACATCCAGCTCCCTGCCCACCCACCCAGATGCCCTCGACTGAGGAGCGTGAAGCCGGGGTTGGGGTAAGGTAAATGGAGAAAGAGGCAGAAGGTGAAAAAAAACAGAAAAAAACAAACACATCTTAGGCGAGTTTCCGCGCAATCTTGGCAACTGCAGGTGGCAAAAGTAAGACCACAAAGCCCTGTGTGTTCACGGAGTGGGAAATGTTTTCCCCGAGGCCTGGGGCTCTGCGACTGCGACCCCTACTCCCTTCCCAGCTCCCAGTCGGAGCCTCCTCGGAATTCCTGCGCGGGAAGGTGGCAGAGGAAACTCACGAGCCCTATGTCCTCTCCTGTTTTCTTCCTCTTTTGCCTCCCTACACTCCCCCTCCCCCAGCTGTTCAAGTCCCAGATGGAAAGATTTCCAGCCACTTCTGTAAAGGACACGAGAGGGAAGTGGGGGTGGGAGTGTGGGAGGGGCGGTTAGGCTCCTGCCCTGCGGATCAGGGGCGCCTCCTCCGTAGGCTGGCCCGGGCACAGTCTGCGGCCTTGGCTGCAGCTGCGGCCTACGTTATACACCGGGGCTAGGAGAGAAGGCCCAACTCGGGACACAACAGAGTGTGCTAAAGGGGCTTTGGGAGCCAATGCTCTGAGGACTCCACAGACCAGTCACGCTCCCCCCACGCCCCACCCTGGTCCAGGAGCTGGCTGTGGAGTCTTGAGGGTACTGGGCGGTTGGGATGCAGAGTGGACCAGTGACGTCATTGAGTCTAGGCCTCCGCAGCAGAGGGGTCCCGCCTGGGCGACAGTGTCCGGGTGCATCGCAGCAATTCTCTGATGGTCTTTGTCAAAAAGCACACAATGTTGGTTTTGTTTAAAAGGGGGGAGGGGCTCGTGGGACAAGAGACAAACTGTGAGAATAAATATTTTGAAGGCAAACACCCAATGGGTCTAGATTGAATGTGTATTTGATGTGCTGGGTACCAAATCCCCTGCAAAAGAAGCAGATGTTGGGGGCAGGGAAAAGGAAAAGTCTGCAATTGTTGCCAAGGGGGCGGAAAGATCAGGGCCGGGTTCCCAGCCAGTTACCCTCTGAAGGGAGGATGGCGCTGCCCCCAAATTCCTGCCAAGATTGGGGGGAGGGGCAGATACACAAGTGAAAAGTTCTGGTAGACCCATCTCAGCCCCTTAAGAATTTGGAGGTAAGTAGAGGTGTGATACTCCTACCTACGGGGAACCCCCAAAGAGCTCAGTTAAAAAGCTGGACACAGCAAACCAGCCCAGATTCTGCCACTCTGCTGGCTTGTCTTCTGGTCCTTCCTCTGCAGACACCGTTGGAAGGTTGTCACTCCTGCCCCATCGCCATACACTTCCATCAGATAAATAACGTCCTAACTGGAGAGGGACTGTTTCCATGACCCCTAATAAAAACCAGAATCTTCCAAATACATCTCTAGTGAATTCGCCCTTCTGGAAGGGGCTCTGCAGTCCTCTTCCCGCCCTGCCCCCACCACAATAGGGCCCAGAGGCCGTCTGGCCAAGGGCTGGAGGTCGGCTGCAAACGGTTCTCTCCCATCCAGCAACTCCCGCCGCGCCGCCAAGGTGCAGGGGACGTCTGGGGAACTTGCGTCTTCTGAAGATGGTAAAAAAAATGTCCCAGTCTCCAAAGAGGACTCCTTTCTTTCTCTCGCTTTTCTAGGCCCCATTTTTCCTTCCACCCTCATGCAAAATAATGAAATAAAATAAAAAATGCGTAGTCGATCACTAATCGCCTTTAATTTTTCATTTGCTTGTTACAGATGTCCACCGCGTTGCTCGCAAGGTAATCTCGCCCGGCGCAGCTGAGCGCCCGCATCTCGCGCCTGCGACATCAAAGAGGCCGCGCACAAAGCAATGTTTCTTCGCCACGGTGCATCTTCATGGTGAGTTAGGATTTCTATGGCAATGGGCAAGGCGCACTGAAATCCTGAAAGGCCGAGCCTGGAGCCCGTCCAGGCTTTTCATTAAGGACATAATATTTACGTCTAACAGGCCTTTTTTCTTGTGTATACAAGTATATATTTTTGTTTGACGCGGACTAAATCATTTTCATTTAATTTCCGGTAAACAAAACCCACGCGAATGGGCACTTGTTCCCGATCATAATAAAAATGGATAATAATGTGAGGGAAGAAAAGGGCCGCTTGAATCGCCGCTCAGCCCCCTTTGTTTCTGCTTTCTGCGGTGATCAGAGGGCGCATTTGGGTTTGATGGCGAGTTTCTAAAGGCGAGGAAATGGTTTGTAAGAGGGGAAAGAAAAGGAGAAAGGTCTAATCAAACTCGGGTTGTTCAAAGAGTCGGGTTTTGGGGTTGAAAGTGTGAGTTTGACGGTGCATCAGCATGCCGCGTTAGGCTCGCCATGGAAATACGCGCGGGGAGCGGCCGCTTCAAAGGCGGCACACTTCACTGCAGACACTCTATTAAGATACATTTGCGCTGACCTTTGCTTTCACGCCATTTAATACTGTCACTGTGCTCTCCAGTATATACTTCCTCCTTAGGACCTGCCTCGCCAGCGTTTAGGGGTTCACCTTGCACTCTGGTGCGGGGGAGGGCGCTTGACACCAGGGACGCTTTCAGGAAAGGGAGGAGCCGGACTCCGCGCATCTTGACTGCGCCCCGAAGAGGCTCCAGGGTCAGGAGTAAATAACTTTCGGGCGAGCTCGGAAGCTTAACAAATGAGCATCCCCAGCTCGGTTTTGTGTGGAGCAGCTCTCCGCCTCTGGAGCAGGTTGGAGGCCTGAATTTGAATGGGACTTGGGGGAAGGAGCAGGAACCGCCCTGGATGAGTCTGGGGAGTTCAGATTGTGCCTTTGGGACATTTCACTCTGGCCCCCAGCACAGCTCATTCGGCCCCTCTGTCCCAGAAGTTTCTCACACACCCCCAAACTTGTTTCTCCCCAGGGTGGGGTGTAGGGACCCCCAGAGGCCTGGCTGGCCTGGTTACAGACTCAAGAGCCCAAGGCCAAGGGGATAGGGAAGATGGAAGGAGAGTTAGAAGTCCATGTTCCCTTAATTGTCTTGTTGTTTATTTTATCCAAGTACCCCTGTGAATAGGGGAAAAATAAACACGGTGGAAAAAAAAAATCAAACAGTGGAGTCTTCTTTAGTGCCAGTCCTTGTGGTTGAATAAAAAGGATGGTCCGCTTTCTATTCAGCTGAGAAATCTTTGAAGTGGGAGTTATTATCTGAGACATTCCTCCTTGTCGTCCTAACAACGCTGATGAAACGGAAAAGGCTCTTTGTCAGCGATTTGTTCTCCTCTCTGTCAAACTCTCTCTGCCCCGTTAGTTTCAAACCGTTTCTAAAGAGATAAAATCTAACTTCTTAAAAAAAAAATACATGCAGACTACACTAACTGGTAACTTAGGGCTAAGTCCTGCCAAGGGGAAAACAAAAGCATTGCAGAGACATCAGGCCCAGAGCCTGTGGAGGTGTGCAGATGTTGAGGGGGCTCTTTGCCCAGGCTCTGGGACAGGAGGGAAGGAATGCAGAGACAGTGAAGCCACAGCGGAGATACCCTACGCCCACACTGCGGCCCGCTTATCTCTGCTGCTCTGCACTCGGTCAGTCCAAGTCAGGTCACCTGGGGACCCCTCGAGCTCCCACTATTCTTGCTCCCGATCCTTGGAACCTAAAGCTGCAGTGATGCAATTGTTCATATTTCCTGCTCCTTCAAAGACAATCTCAGCTAAAAATAGACCCATTGTGTGTTTCTTCCCACTAGCAGCTATCAGCAAGCCCTTTCTGCCATTAACAGAAAGAAGAGGGGCTTGAGGGAGAGAGACATTTTTATAATTTCCTGTTTTCTTCAGCATCTTGGCAATTGGAGTTCAGAAGGTCCTCGACCCCAAAGTGCATGCAAATGTCCCGTTCCCCATCCCCAGGTGCAGTCCTCCATCTCATCTTGTGCCCAGGAAAGAGAGAGACTTTCACCCCGTCCAGCTTGCCCCAGGCATTTTGATGTGGTTTTAAAGGTGTTTTACATAAAGGAGGATGGTCCAGCCTCCCTACCCCCGTGTGTGCTGACTAAATGATTTGTAAAGAAGTTTCCCCAAGCTGTAACCCATGCTGTTATTATAGTTGCTACAAAATGTTGTCTTATATTGACTTTTATTTGTTTACTGGAGGTCCCCACATGTTTGTTTATATTGCTAACTTATGGGAAAATGTAATGATTACAATGAATGTGAATTATACAGACAGGCAAATGTTTTGTGATCATAATTTACTCACGCAAGAAAGCCTGGCTGAAACCTTAGACTATTTGGTACCCTCTCTACCCACACTGTTAGTGATTTATCATCCGTCCCCTTAGCATCCTTAAATTATGAACTAACTTGAAAGGAAAAAAGTTGTTATGTGTTTCACTGAAAGTGATTGTCGAATGAAAATATAGTTGAAACCTGTGGTTTAATCTGCTGTAAATATGTAAAAATGAATTAAACCCGTGATTCCTTTTCCCTCCAAAGATCTTCATGTACATGGAGATACGTTTCCCTATTTTCTTTGGAAATAAACGATGTGATGTTCCCCTTTCCCTCTGGAATTCGAGTGTCCTGTTATTGCTTCGTCGTCTTGGGAGAGATTTGGGGCCCGCCCAGCAGCATCCCGTCCTTTTCCCTGCCATCCCTCACGACTTCCAGATACATCTCCAAAGTCTAGTCGTTTGGAGCAGCAAAAACAGAAGGGCCCACCAGAGCGGCCCTTCTTAAAGAAGACTTCTCTCGCCCCCACTTTCACCCCAGTAACACTGGCACTCCTTAACTGGTTTCCATCGCGGAAGGGGAAAAGGTAGGCCGATGCTTTTGGTGTGTTCCCAGCAGGGCTGTCTTGCAGTACCGCAACCTCTCACAAACCACATCTAACTTCCTAGAGAGATGCCTGGTACCTGGCAGGAAGAAAACAAGGAAGACAGACGAGAGGGCAGGCTGCCTCCAAGTCTTCCCTAAGCCCTGATGGGGCTCCCCTGGTGGCTCAGACGGTAAAGAATCCTCCTGCGATGCGGGAGAAGTGGGTTCGATCCCTGGGTGGAGAAGATCCCCTGGAGGAGGGCATGGGAACCCAATCGAGCATCTTGCTTGGGAAATCCCACGAGCAGAGGCGCCTGGCGGGCTGCAGTCCACGGGGCCGCGAAGTCGGACACGGCCGAGCGACTAAGCACAACGCCGAACATAAGCCCTCATGAGGGTACTTCGAGCACAGTTGCCCGCAGGAGTCTTCCCAGCGGACGCCGCTCCCGTCTGGGAGTAGCCGGTGCTCAGACCGTTCAACTCCCTCCAGGGAACTGCCGAAAGCCAAGCCCGAGCCCACGGGACCCTTCTCTGAGCCCGGATTGGGAGGTCGGGATTCAGTGAGCTTTAGCATCTGATGGAGAAGCTCTCTCCCACCCCGTCCGGCCACTGGAGAAATCATTTCAGATGTATCAGCACCACCCGAACCTTCTACCCCCCTCCCCTGCGGCCACGGAACCTCTGGTCGCCCGCGCGCCGTGCTCCTCCGCTCCGAACGCGCAGGAGTCCGCCGGCCCCTGCCCTGATGGAAGGGAAGTGGGGTTTCGGGGCCCGGCTGGGCTTGAGATGAGCTGAGAGGACAACGGCTCTGGGGCTCTGGGTGCTAGGCTCCCTTCGAGAACACCTCGGGAGAGCCAGCTCGTGGGGCTAGGGTGGCAGGCCCGCAGAGGAGGTGGCGGGAGGGGCCCCGGCGCGCAAAGGTGCCAGGGCGACGCGCGAGTGTGAAAAGGCCGCCCCGGGGGCGGCCCTGGGACCGCCGCGACCCGTCGCCGTCCGGGGGCGACGAGGGGGAAGAGGTTCCGGGCCCGCAGCCCTGGTGAGCGCCCCCTCCCGTCCTTCTCGCGGAAGGGTCCCCCTCCGGCCTGGGCCGGGATAGAGCCTCTCCAGCTTCCGGGGCCTCTGCGCCCCGCCTCTGCGGGAGACGGCGCTCAGTAAAGCCGGCTCACCGACGGAATCCTTGGGGGAGCACGTGAGCACGAGGAAGGCCCGGGGACCCTGGGCCTGGTCCCGGGCCCGGAGCCTCGCGGCCGCCAGAGGAGCTTGGCCCCTCCAGCCACGCCGCCCTAGTCCCGCCCGGGACAGCGCGGGTCGCCGGGGGAGTCTAGCCCGGCCTGCCCCGGGAGCCGAGAGGAGCTGCGCGGAGGGCAGCGGCCCGTGCCCGCTCGCCCCCGCCGCGCCACGCGGGTCGCAGGCGGCGGACCCGAGACTGAACCGGCCGGCTTCGAGACGGAGGGAGAGGACAGCGCGAGTGTGCCGGGCACCGGCCCGCCGCTGCCCTGCGAGTGCTTGGGCTTCCTTGGGAGAAAAGTTGTTTTGGGCAGAAAAGTTGAGTGGTGTGACCTTTGGCAGAGGGTGGTCACTGGTGCCCGAGTGTCCCTGGCTAGTTCACCCTAGAGAAAATCTGTAGGGAAGTTGCCCACCTCTGATCCCACACCGGTAGCCTCGACGGAAGGTTGGGGACGCCTTCGCCTCTTCGCTGCTTCCAATGCGAGCACCACGTGGAAAGTGCCGGTGAGGGGGGAGGACTGGCTAGGCTTGTCCACCCGCGGCCATGTGCTTCAGTTTCCTTGTCTGCTGAAAGAGAATTTCCAGGAATTGTCTTCACACGTTTGCCTGGAGCAGTAAATAGGATAATCCTTGAAGCCCTTTAGAGTGTAGGTGTTGAGTGCTTGATGTTAACGTTGTTGTTATTAGGACCACTTACAAGACTCCATCTTTCAGACACATCACTTAGCTCCTCCTTGAATCAGGTCTCCAGACCCTCCTAGAAAGCGAGGCGCTTGCAAGGGTCTCGAGCTCCAGAGCAGGGTGTGTCCTTCCAGGCAGCACCTAGGCCAGCTGAGGGTCCGCAAACAACAGGAGTGTGTGCACTCCGAGAGTTCTGGGTGCGGGTGCAGTGTGGGGAGGGAGGAGAGCGCGGACGCAGAGACGCCACTGAGTTTGAAAAGCGCAAGAAAAATGGGAGGAAATCGAGTTCATTTCTGTGCAGAACTAAGCAGGAGAAACCTGATCATCTTAAAGTCACTCCCATGGCTTGTTGAGACCCTGACACTGCAGCCGGCCCACATGTTGATTTTTTTTTTTTTACCATAATTCTGCGTTTACTCTGAATCCAGATGGTGGGCTTTTCATGGCCCAGGTGTGCAGGGCGGGAATGTGCAAGTGGGGGGTAAAAGTGAGCGACCCAGGACAGAGCAGTTTGGGGCAAAAGTCACACAAAGGTGCATTCTTTCTAGGAAGGCATCAGAAACTTTAAAAAAAATCATAGTTTAAAATGCTGAATCCTCATTTGAATGTTGAATCACTTTTTCATGCTGAATTCTCATTCTTGTTCTGAGAAATTAATAACATCTTTGTCACCAAGTGACTGAGAATCCCACAATAACATGTTCTGCTTGTCAGCAACTTCCTGTCTGGGCAACAGGACAGCATTGCCTTTTTAGTCAAATATCTTCAAGGAGGAAACTGCCTGAGAGTTTTCTAGGAACATTACCAAGTCCAGACCCCAAAATCATTTAAGAGAAACTCATTAGACAACTAAGAGAGGTCTTGGCGTTTACCTCTGAACTTTCCAGTATTCTGCAAACATCCAAAACTGCTGTGGAAGAAAAGAAATGGAGAGAAAGAGAGAAAGGAAGACAAGAATTACTTCAGGACATAAATTGATAAAATATAAATAGGACCAGAGAAATGAACTTGAAACCTGTCTTGCAGTTTTGGCTTCTTTAGATCCAATTCAGACACTGTGTGAGCCAACATGCAAGGCAAAAATATTCATCAATTCAAAACAAGTCCAGCAGGCTGTGCACGCTTTTGAACCTCAGTAATAAATGGGCAGGCTTGAGAAATGTCAGCAGAGAACAGAAACCCAAATTGGGCACATGTCTATGTTTTGTCTGTGCCACATGGTTGTAGAATAATGGGAAGAAGAAATGGGGAAACCCCAACCACAATATTATCAGATGATTCATACAGAAAATCAGAAGGATGACCAGTTTTCTCTTGTCTGCGACTGACTGCCGGCCCGTGCAAGATTAGATTAGCCAGATGAGGATAATGTTCTTTGCCAGAACTGGGGAGAAACTGCAGACAGCTCAAGGTCCTTGGCTTGTGCCACTGCAAGGTCTTGCTCAGGGTTGAGTGGAGGCATCTAGCTTTTGTGAGCTCAAGGATGTTTTCACTAAGCATTATTTTAAGAAGTACACCCAGTATCTTAGTGGGAAGTGTTCCAAGTCACAAAAAACAAGCACATCACCCCAGAAGATTTGCTTATTTCCTCCAAGAGAAGGGAGAACAATTGCCTGATGCACGCATGCAATTCTCAATCACACTGCAACCACTTTCACCTCAGCAAATGTGTTTCAAACCTGTCTTACAAATTTCCTCTACATTTTCTGGCACTGCATTTAGTAAGCAAGGAATTCATAGTCAAATGCTTTGTGTCATTCAAAGAATCTGCCAAATTTCTTACATACACACACACACACACACAAACTGTTATAGACAAACAGAACTTCCTTTAAATGTGAAATATCATTTCATTGTAAAAAGTTTAAAAAAATAAAGGAGCGGTAATCCAACTTCCGGATACTGTTCTGAATTATTTCACCAGACCCTTTTAAAAGGGGATTAGCAGGGCTTTGGGAGCAAAATCCTTCTGTTTTATTCAATCTCCGATTTTGTTATAATTGCGTGTTGTAAAGGCTCTGGAATTAGTATGCAGGCCCCGTCAGGACACAATGCAGGTGCTATTCTAATGGTTCAGCTTTTTAATTAAGAAAAGAGGTAAGAGAATCAAATCATAAGAAACACTTTTGTGAGAGCTGAGAACATTGCAGCGACTGCCTGAATAAAGCCTTTATACCTTCCTCTGACAGGTCAGCTACCACGGCGCTGACTTCCGACCTTTTCAGGGCCAGACAATGGTTCACAGCCTCCTCACCTTGTCCCCACCAAACCTATTCTTCCAGCGCAGACCTTGGGGAAATTGCCTTAAGTAGCTAGACTTCTTAAAAAGATACTGCAATTAGAATAGATACATATCATATCTTAGGGCCCAACCGCTTATCTCCTGTTCTCTGCATTCCTTTTCATGGGTGGGGGAGGGGGAGTTCGGGAGGAACAAATATATGAGGGTGCGGAGAGAATCCATCCTAAAATACCCACACGGGGGAAGCAGGAGCAAGGCCAAGGTGGACACCCCCCTCCCCTCCATCTCTGGGGAAGTAGAACAGGGCAAGTGCAGGAAACGCCAAGTAGGGGCTCCCAGCAGCTCTGCAGGTCTTGGAAGTGGGCTGTTCTCTGAAGAAACGGTTTGGCCTGAACACTCTGGCCTTCCTCAGTTCAGATCAGTTCAGTCTCTTGGCCTGGAGCAGTCCAAATTAGTGGGCGTGTCTTTGTCCTTCCCAAGTTCCTTCAGCTCTCCAGTCACTTCCAAAGAATCCTCACCTTGGAGTAAGACTGTTCTTGCCTATGACACTTCAAGGCAAGTCCCCTGACTGTCCCACCGAAGTCACACTGGAGGCCTTTCAGCCTGAAGACACCTCACCATTGGGCCCTGAGCCGTGAATCCCCCACGATTCTCCCATCCCAGGTTTTGCCACAACTGGGGGCCCACAGCAGGACTCCGAGGGACCCTCCCACTCAGTCTTCCGCAGGCCCCTGTAAAACTTCCATCCATCGCCTTTTCTTCCAGAACCCAGACGGTATGACTGGAGACCTGGTCCAAGGTCAGAAACTCAGGCTCTGCCCTTCCTGAGAAGGCCAGGGCGCGCCGGGCCCAGCTGAGAACAATGCGAGTATTAGGATATCAGCCGCCCTCGCAATGATCACGCGTTCAACGATTTTGTTTTCACGGCTGAGGGGGCTTTTTTCCAATGTAAATCAAGCGCTTTAGTTATTAAGGCCGAACACTAATCTCCAACAACCTTGACATAATGTGGCCGGGTGCGCCGGCCCACTTCGCACCTGCAGTCTGAATAGGGCGCCTTGTCAATGGGGGACACGCTTGTTGCCCCGGCTTGCAAAGGAGGGGAGTGAATAAGTCAAGCTTTGTGAATGCCCATGCGCGCTCGCCCTCCCGCCTTTGATCACGGAAGATGTCTTCTAATTTGTCCCTTTTTCATTGTAACAACGTTTTCAAGGCCCTTTCTATTTTCCCAAACCACATTTTTATAAAGAACATAAATCGCCCCCCGAAAACAAAAGGGGCGCGCCCCGGCCAACTGGCGCCATCACGCTTCAGGGTCTCGCGGTTCTAGAAAGTGTGTTGCGTCTAGAAGCTACCCTCGCTGCAAACGATGCGCTGGAAGGCCCCAATCCTCTAGAGCTCCAGGGTCGGGCTTCTGGAAGGACAGTG